AGGGGGGGCACGCTGACCCAACGGGCCCATGCTGCAGCCAGAGAGGACAGGGTGGGCACGCTGACTACATGGGCCGTGCTGTACCCAGAGAGGACGGGCAGATCACACTGACTGGGCAGGCCGTGCTGCAGCCAGAGAGGACAGGGTGGGCACGCTGACTACATGGGCCGTGCTGTACCCAGAGAGGACGGGCAGATCACACTGACTGGGCAGGCCGTGCTGCAGCCAGAGAGGACAGGGCGGGCAGCACTGCCCAGAAGAGTGCTCTACGGACCCTGAGGGTGGATTCGGTGCTCCCCGAAACAGGAAGCAAGGTCACCCATCTGGGGAGGGTGGTGGGGGCCCTGAAGGTGAGGCCAAGGCCCCTCACACCTGACCCTGAGGCCTCGACGTCCTGGCGAGGCCCCCTCTGCAGGCTCCACTGCGGGGGGGCTGGGGGCTTGGGGACTGGGAGCCCACGAGGGGCTTGGAGGAGCATTTAGTGGACTTCGTTGACAGCTAGATGCCAGGAGGTGGGGCATGGGGCCAGGCTGGGCAGCGGGCACCGGGTGGACAGGTGGTCCAGGGGCCTCGGCCGAGAGCAGAGGGTGGCATCTCCCCAAGAGTGGAGTAACAGTTGGCTCCTGGTGTTCCCAGGCCGTCCCCGATTCTGCTGAGCTGTGGCATCCCTGCTGACGTGGCCAAGAATGCACTCCGGCTCAGCGTAGGCCGCAGCACCAGCAGGGCAGAGGTGGACCTGGTGCTGCAGGACCTGAAGCAGGCGGTGGCCCGGCTGGAGGGCCCGGCCTAGTGCCGAGCGCTTCCTTGCTGGAGCTGACGAGGACAGCCTTGGCCACAGCGCTCATCGGAGGCCTCCAGAGCATCATCCCATCTGAGGCCGGCTCTTCTCCCTGTCTTCCTCTCCTGGGACGACTGGGTTTGCGGCGTGGCACAGGCTTCCTCCCTGGCTCTGGTCCGCCTGGTGCACAGACCCCACAGGGGCCTCACAGACCCAGGCCCTACGCATAGGACACTCCTGTCTGCTGCTGCAGGACCCCGACAGGTGAAGTGGAAAAGCTTTGGCCACATCTGCACAGGGAACTGGGGGCCTGCCCCAGGCGTTTCTGTCCAGAAGAGGAACCCCAAGTATTTTTAGGAATACCCAAATATTTGTCAGCTCGTTGTGGTCATGAAATAGGAAACCTGATTTCTGAGAGCGCCGTCTCCCACACGCACAGTTGCAGGGCAGCCCCCCCGGGCCCTCAGCAAACCCTTTCCTAACCCTGCCTCAGGGGGTCCTCTCGGGCTGCTCGCCCCCTCGGACCTCAGTGCGCCCTGACCCCACCAGCGCTGGCTGCTGCCCTGCTCCGTCACCACCCTGGGGAGGGCCAGGGAGAGGTCGAGGCAGCCGTGTGGCTCCCCCCGGGGCGCCCAGCCCAGCCTGCTCCTCCCCACCCCTCACACGGAGCTGCTGGGTCACCCCGAGGCAGGAAATCAGATCGCCCCATCCTGCCTGTCAGTGTCACCTTCTTTGTGGAAGGACTCTTGTACCTTCACGGGCGCCCTGTGGCATCTGACACACCTGGGGCGCCATGTGGAGCAGCCCGCGTCTTTCCTGTGTGGGTCTCAGGCACGACGGCATCAAGGACGACGGCCAGAGCGCGAGTGAATGAACGAATGGTCTTGGCTCGGCAAGGCCGGCCTGGTGTTCTGGGTGCTGTGCGTCCTCGGCCATCTGACGGCCGGTAAGCGGCTTATGGCAGGTGGCCTGACAGAGCCTCCTGGCACCTCCAGGCGGGGCCCTGGCCCACAGCTTCCTGCTGCCGCCAGGGGAGGCGCTGTGACTCGATTCCGAGCCAAGCTCTGCAGAGCACCCAGTCACTGGGCAGTCTGGACAGAGGTGCTTGGTGGGTCTGCAGTGCACGTGGGACCTCTGACTGCAGCCCGGAGCCCCGTCATGGGCTGGTCAGGTTAGGGGTCTATGAGACCTTCGGCGCCTGGACACATGCCCAGTGCCAGGGCCAGGCAGAGCCACTGGAGCCTCCAGGGCCGCAGACCGCATGAAGTCCAGCATGCAGGCACTGATTCCCCGGGGGTGGGGTGGCGGGACCAGCATCAGTGTGCAGGGCTCCAGTGTCCCGGACACACTGGGGGCTCCACGACAGTGGGAGCACAGACTGCCAGCCTCTGGGCCACGGGGAGAACTTTGAGGGAGCTTCCAGGCCCGGCTCTGCAGGCCACTCTGGGAGAGGAGGCAGGGTCTGGCGTCCGGCAGCATCTGGGGCCAGCCTCTCTCCCCTGCTGCCTACCCCAGGACCCATAGGTGCCGGGGAGCCACTGGGATGAGGCCTGTCCCTCCCTGGTTGCCGCCTCCCATCTGCCCTGTGCATGGCTTATCGGGTAACCGGAGCCGGTAGCTGCGTCCACGCCTGAAACAGGAAGCCCGGCCTGTGCATGAGCCACGGCGAGAGCTCAGAGCCAAGAGCCAGAGGATGGAGGAGCAGCAGGCGCTCGCAGCTGCCAGGGACGGGGATGTGGCCACCCTGGAGAGGCTGCTGGAGGCTGGGGCCCTGGGCCCGGGCATCGCCGATGCCCTGGGTGCTGGCCTGGTGCACCACGCCACCCGGGCGGGCCACCTGGACTGCGTCAAGTTCCTGGTGCAGAGAGCCAAGCTGCCCAGCAACCAGAGGGGCCCCGGCGCGCGCCCCCCCCCCCTGCCACTGGCAGCCTGGCCGAGCTGCGCTGGCTTGTCCGCGAAGGGGGCTGCGGTCTGCAGGTGAGCGGGGGCAGGCACCTGGCTGGGGCAGAGTGGGGGGCCTGTCTCTGGTCTCCCCAGCCTCGCAACTGGGCCCTATTTCTCTCTGGCCTCTGTCCACGGTGTCCACCTCTGCCCCACGCCTGTTCCTAGTCCCCAAACCAGCACACAGCCCTTGAAAGCCTAAGCCACCTCCAGAATCACCTTCCAGGCCCGGCTGCCCGGCGGCCTGGCGGAGAAGCTGCCCCGACTGGCTCCCCACCCCTCCCCCACAGGAGCAGTGTGGCCAGCGGGGGTATTGCCAGGACGCCAGTCCCTGTCAGATAGGCCGATGGACAGGGCCTGTTGCCCAGAGGGTCTGCACATGGGTAATGAGGCGCGGGGAGAGTTTGGGTTCGGTCATCGAGGGGAGGGAGCTGTGATGGTGAGGCCGGCTAGCAGTGACCAGCAGTGACCGGCAGGCCCAGTGATTTCTAAGCAGGCCCCGCCCTCGCCCTGCCTGCCTGGTCCTGCTTTGTCCAGGTGAAGGGCCCCGAGGGCTGCCCTTCCTGAGGACAGAGTAGGGGTGGGCCAGAGGGACCCGCTGGGAGCGGAGAGGGAAGACTCACCCCCACTGTTTGTCAGAGACCTGGGTGCCATGGCTCAGCATCTGGTAGCCAGCCCTGGGGAGCAGCAGGGCCTGGGCTGTTTCTGGGGTCACTTCTGATCATGGTCCCGTGCCCGTGTGGAAATGCCAGGCTGCTGGACACCCCATGCCAGGGGGCTTCGGACTGGAGGGGTGGGCCCGCAGCCTGTGCAGGGGGCCTGGAACACCCATGCTCGTGCAACTGCTGGGCAAGGGGAAGCCTTTCTGCCATGAACAGAGTAGGCAGGGGCTCGGCCGAGCGGGAAGGGGCCACCTCCGCTGGGGCAGGGATGGAGAAGGCGGGGGACTGTTGCTGCCTGGATCGGAGGCCTCCCTCCTGTGGGCGCGGGGGAGGAAGGGAAGCAGAAGCTCACGTGGACAGTGGACAGTGCGGGCTCTACCCAGACCAGCCTAGGGCAGCCAGCTCTGGCCTGGTGCTGACCACCTGCCTGGGCCCTGGCAGGACCAAGACGCCTCGGGTGTGTCCCCACTGCACCTGGCTGCCCGCTTTGCGCACCCCCTGCTGGTGGAGTGGCTGCTGCACGAGGGCCACGCGGCCACGTTGGAGACGCGGGAAGGGGCCTTGCCGCTGCACCACGCCGCAGTCAGCGGAGACCTGACCTGCCTGAAGCTCCTGGCAGCTGCCCATGGCAGGTGAAGAGCCCCGAGCCCTGCCTGTGGGGGCAGCCTGGGGACAAGGAGGGTAGAGAAGGACAGGCAGTGGCCTTGGAGGTGCCTTGCAGCAGGCCACTGCCAGTCTGCAGCTGGTGGGGGCGGGGGGACGGGAGCCTAAGGGGGGGGGCGTCTGGGCGCGGGGGCCCGTTTTTAGGCCAGGCCCCGGGCCGGAGGTGCATTCGGCCGTGCGAGCGGCTTCTGCTCCCGAGGGGCAGCGGACAGCAAGAGGCTCCTGGCCCCAGCTGGGGCATCTCAGGGCCTAAAGCTGGGGACAGAAGGCATGCCGGCCAGGCAGCTGGGGGCATTTTACTGGACTTGGGGGCTCCGAGGCCCTGGAAAGGCTGGCCTGGGTTTGCCCTCCACATGGGAACCCCTGGAGCTGGGGGCAGGGCTTACCTCTCAGAGGCTCTGTGCTCTGCCCCCGCCCGCCCCCCGCGGCTGGAATTGGATGGGCGAGGAGGGAGGCCGGGGCAGGACTCGCCTTCCCATCCTGGGCGCAGGAGCACTGTCGTCGTGGTAGCAGGCCCTAGTCTGGCTACCTGTGCCCAGGGCTGCTGTCCTCACAGGGTGGCATCTCTGTGGCCACCACTGCCATTGTCCTGCCCCACACACCCCTCCACCCGCTGAGGCCTGGTGCTCCTGTTCCCTGTACATGTTCTTAGGCGCGGCATAGACTTTATCTCCTGAACCACCTGGCGCACGCCTCTGGGGTTCCCTCCTGCAGCTACCCCGAGCACAGCTTCTAGTCTCCACACTGGAAACCAGGAGACTCACGTTAACACACGTGTGCTGTGCCCAGCCACGTTCTGCCATGGCACCGACCACACGTGCTGAGGGGCCGTCCTGGCCTGAGATCTGCTATGTAGCCACCCTGCTGGACACCACCCGCTCTAGCCCCGGCTGGCGTCGAGGACGCTGGCAGACTGCTGAGCTGACACCAAGGCGCACATACAGCCCTTTGGGGGACATTGGGACAAGCCCCTGGTGGGCAGGGTAGGCGTGTGGAGGGTCCTAGGCTGGGGCTACCCCTGGGATCCTGGGTCCACTCCACTACAGCTGAGCAGGGCAGGGCTGGCCCAGCAGGGACCTACCGGCAAGGAGCGCTCAAACCAGGGGCAGGCCTGTGGGCAGCTGTTCGACTCCCCCTTCTGTCCCCTGAGGCCTGTGACCAGCTGTCCAGGGCTGAGCGGCTGAGGTGCTTCTCTGGGGGTCCCCGAGTCACTCTGATTCCTCTGCCTGGAGTAGGGCACGAGTCACGGGGGGCTGGTTAGAGCAAGTCTCACCAACCAGCCCCGTGCCTGCCCTGCAGGCAGAGGGTCTGGAATACAGGGAGCTTGTGCAGCTTGGAGGACAAGCCAGGAGGGCTGAGAGCGGAGTGCCACTCCCCACGTGCCTGCCCTCCAGGGGTCACTGTGCCCCACCCCTGCCCGCTCAGCACTGGGGAGGTGGCTCTGCTGGTTCTCCAGCTCGTCACAGGCCACCGAGACCACCAGGCAGACCCGCTCACAGCAGCAGCAGCCATGGGGCCTCAGAAGCAGAGGGAGCCCGTGGGGCATTGGGGACAGATTCTGTGTTTCCATGGGGACAACCAAGGACCACAGCCCCTTGAGTCTAAAGAGGCTGACATTCGGAACTAGGAGCCAGGGGTCGGCAGGGAAGGAGTCAGGCATGCAGAGGTCCCGCCACAGCCCTGCCACAGCCCTGGGCTGCACTGGGAGAAGTGGGGCTCAGTCCGTGCCAGGCAGGCAGGGTGGTCAGCCTTGTGAGACTGGCCCTGTCCACAGCAGTCACTGAGGACCAAGGGCTCTCTTGGCCCAACAGCAGAGGAGGTCCGAGGCAGGCCAGGACGCTGCTCCGGCCCGTCTGTTGGGGCTGGACTTCAGGCTGGCCCTGGGTGCCCATGGTTCCTGTCCTGCTCACGGTGACCCTGTTAGAGAGCAGGACCCAGGACTGGGCTAGGTTCATACATGCCCAGCTGTAGGCCCCGCCGTGCTGGCCACCCCCAAACAGACCAGCTCACCTGGTGGGGATTCCAGGCCGGCGGGCTCCTCCCACACCTGCCGGTGTCCCGCCCTCGGGCAGTTCACAGCCAGTGCCACGTTGGGGGTCAGTGTAGGTGCAAATGCGAGCCAGGAGCTCAGGGCCACACCTCCTGCTCCACTGGGTCCCTATCTCTCCCACCACCCCGACCTGGGGCCCCTGGCCAGGTACCCTCTGAGCCCTCCCTCCCCGCAGTGGCGTGAATCAGCGGACACGCAGTGGTGCCACCCCACTCTACCTGGCCTGCCAGGAGGGCCACCTGCACCTGGCCCAGTTCCTGGTGAAGGACTGCGGGGCAGACGTGCACCTGCGTGCCCTGGATGGCATGAACGCCCTGCACGCTGCCGCAGACCACGGCCACTACGCGCTCGTCGTCTGGCTGGTAAGGGGGCGCCGGCCGGGGGGACGTCCGCGAAGCCCGAGCCTTAGAGCAAGCAGCGCCCGGAGCCCGGGGGGATGGTCCTGGGGCTGATGGCAGAGCTGCGAGACGAGCAGACGAGCCCTCTGTGCCCACCACGCTGGGCCGGGGCTTTGACCATGCGCTCTACACGTGGTCCTGCGACAGCCAGCTGCCAGGTGACCTGCAGTGCCCCAGGGCTCTCCTCCTCCCACACCTGGGAGACCTTCGGGGTCTCCTGAGGTTGTCAGGTGGGCTGTGCCCCCGTGCTGTCCCCAGGGCCACACCAGCATGCCTGGCGTGGGCCACAGCATTTGCTCAGGCCCTGCTCCTCTGGCAGCTCTCCTATCTGGGCAGGATGGGAGGCTCTTCTTGCCCGCTTCGTGAGAAGGCCCTGGGAACCTGGCGCACAGGGCGGCGGGGTTGGGGTGCCTTCAAGGACAGGCTGGTGGCTCCCTGCCTCCGCAGCCAGGCCAGGCGGGGAATCTGGGAGCCCTCGGTCCATTGCAGAAACCTGTGGAGTCTACAAGTAGGGGCGGGCCTGCTGAGGAGATGAGGCTGGTGACACAGCTGCGGCTTAACAGGAGGGGGCTGGGTAGGGGTGGGCCCGGGGCAAGTTCCCGAGGAGGGCACAGCTAGCACAAAGGCGAGGGCAGCCTGGCCGTGGGGCCTAGGAGGCACGGGCTCTCCTGAGAGTACTGGGGAGCCGTGGAAGGCTCTGCACCATGAGGGGCACTTCAGAAGGTTGCCCTGGGTGCTGGTGGAAAGAGAGCTGCCCCCACTCAGACCTCCCACATACCATCCTTCTCCCTCCTCCACTCCCCCTCCTCCCACTCCCTCCTCCACCACCCCCACCACCCTCTCCTCTGTCCTTCCACGCACCAGCACCTCCCCCGCTGCTGTCGATGTCTCACCTGAGTGTGAGACAGCGGCCCCGCAGGGCTTAGCCCACCAGCTGGAGGCCCTGTGCCTGGCACTCAGCCAGGACTTGGGAGACTTCACTGAACATGTGGATGAAGGAGGGACCGAGGACTCCCTGGCCCTTGGGATGGCATCTGGCCTGCTTGCCACAGCCCAGAGACCTCCAGCCTCTACCTCAGCCTCCCTTCACAGAACCCTCAGCCCCCACTGGTGTCCCTGCCTGCTCGGGGGGCTCACACCTCGGCATCTGCCTCTCCCTACCTGTCCCATGCACTGCTGACCATGGCCTACCCTGTGAGTGGCTCTGGGGTGTGGG